CTCTAGCTCACGTCCTTCTTGGGGAACGGACAGACGGACGGACAGACAGACAGACAGACAGACAGACAGACACAGAGGCGATGGCATAAGCCCGCTTATATAGCTTTTAAGCAAAAGAGCGGGCTAAAAACTGCAATTTTCGTACAAATATTCTTAAATGAGTTTTCGCCGAAAAAAACATTGTTTGGACCTCTCTCCTATGGGCAAACCATTTAAAGTTCACGAAACATGTTTACTTTTTTTATTTTGGATCGGTCTACCCAATGGTTCTTGTAGCTTTTTCGACAAAAGCCTGTTGTTGATAGAGTACATTTTGTGGAAATTTGAAACACTTCTTGCGCAACAGGTTATGTGGTAGAAAGCTGCCCTTTGATTTGTGACTTCCTTTCGGTGTTTTCAAGGACGGACCAGTGAGTTTTTTCTCAATTTCTTCCTAGATTTTTTATAACAGCTCTAGAAGTGGTCAAAATCGGCCAAAAACGTTACTTTTTGGAGGAAACATTTAAAAAAAATTGTGGATGCTGCCTGAATAGAAAAATTGCGAATGTCTCACTGATCAGACCTCAGAAAAAGTTTAAAAAAAACAGCTGCCAATGCGTTGGGTCGTACTCCATACTGTGTTGCGCAAGGAGTTCGCCAAAGTTGAGCTACTTTAAACACTTAAATTAGTGTAACTTGGGAACGGCTAGACCTACAGAGGTGAGATTGTGGTCAAATTAACTTTTTTTTACAACCCCTACAACATACCAAAAGATAAAATGTTTTACTCTAAAGCTGTAGAAAAATTTCATTTCACCGGACCCTTACCTTAAGTGGATTAATTTCTTTTAGAGTAAAAGGAAGGAAAAACAAATAATTAATTATTGTTATCTGAGCAGTGTTCATAGAAACAATGATATCTTGACCACTAAAATGTCTGGGAGAACGATTTGAGCTGGAAGGTGATTTGAGACCTCTTTCGCACTCAAGACTACTTGATCCCCTGTCCAGGAGTCTTAATGGCACTGCATTTTTCATGGCATGACGGATTGTTGGTGACTTAAATGTTGTCCCATCCGGTCCCATAAGACAGTTTCAATTTATTAAACCTGATAACTTCATAGTCACAGAAGTGAAGAGAGCACACTTTACTTTGGGCAGTGAAGTTTAGTATGGCATTGTTTCATTCATTGGCAGAGCGATTAGCGCAGCCTATTCTCCAGTGATGATCAGAAAGTTTTGCGTCTGTCTGTTCGTAAGTTTGTCTGTCTGTACGCACGGTTTGAGCAAGAAGGCTCTAATTTTTGTTGTATGTTGTGAAAAGGAAGAACTGTATTGATTGGGTCAGAATCTATCACATCCGTTTGATGGACCATTTTTAGCTGCCTTTTTGAACAGAAAATGGGGCATTCCTCCCTATCTTCCCCAACCATGACTTGGTAGAGCATCTCCTCCCTGTCGATGGTTCGTCCTGCAAGTAGGGTAGTTAAAGCAAATGTGAATTCTAAATAACCAATATTGTATAGCGAAAGAGGGTACGTTTACCGACATAGGAGTAGTCCAGGTCACGAAGCATGCTGTCCGCCTCACGAAAGTTCTGGGGGCTAGCAGGAATCTTCTGCTTCCTCAAATATCGCACCCCATCGTGAATATGCTTTAGTTTTAGCATGGACCCCACCTCAGAGTTTGTCTTTATAAGCCTGAAAAAACAAGCAAGGTTTCTGTGCCTCTATTCTTCTGATATGTCTAGTGTTCTTGATGAATAAAATTATTTTCTATAGCATGATCCCTCACTTTAGTGGCAATAAAGCTTTCAATTATTTTGCTAGGAGCAGATTGTTCACAGACAGGTCTATAGTTAACAAAATCCAGGTGACTACCTTTTTTATAAATTGGACGACAAATTGATATTTTAAGTCGGTCAGGTACTCTTCCCGCTTCAATTGATTTGTTGATTAGGTTTGTCATCACCCCAGGCTTCATGTCAGAGCGAGAGTTTTTATGTCTCTAGGTCTAATTTCATCA